ATGAAGAACACTAGAAGACAATGACGAGACAACTGGTCCGCGGCTGCCGCGGGCGGCTAATCGATTTTACGTAACCGATTCAACTGTTCATCTCTTGTGTTGAGGATTGGGGCATTACCGTATCACACGTTCACATGACTTGAAAGTCTATCTTGTCTCTCATGCGGTTCAAACCATGAGAATGTAGTCTTATAAGCTCAACCTCAAGAGGGAAGGAGCACCGGGTTGGTTGACATGATATCCTTAAACGAAAAGCCGGATTGCTAACTGAACATTGTGAAAACTAGCCCAAAACGGTGATCCTTCTCTCCTGGTGCTCACGTAGAATTGTTAAACTGACCCTGCTATGTAAGATAACGTGCTACCGTAAAACCAACTGATGGTTCTCATATTTGTGTGTTTGTTTACTGCTACAGTTGTATCTATCACCTTCTACTACTTTTTATATGCTGTAACTGTAATTTGCCAATAGCCATACTTATACATGGCGGAGGTGGTGTAGTGAGAAGTGGCGCGCTATCACGGGCTCAAATCCGATATTGATATCCGCCTAAGCCAATCAAGGGCTTCATCCCTACAGATTAATTGGCGCCATACTCGTTTGGGAGGAGAAATACCCAGACTTCTACATCGGCTGGCCACCGCAGCTCATTGTATAGGCCAAATGCGCATTTAATACGTCACTACGTTTCTGAATGGAAGTCGAATGCAGGGACGCATCCCTCTCATCAGCGAAACAGACCAGTAACGGCCAAAAGGAAACTATCGAAATTGCATCAGTCTCCTACTCAGTACCCCCTGGTCACCGCTGGAGCATCGATATCCGCCTTCTAAAGGGAAAGTCAACGATAAATACAGGGTACTCTTGTACAAGATCAGATGACGGAAATGGCATGGAAGTTGTATTAGGACGAGATTTCAGTTGTTGCATTACGTAAAGATCTCAGTCATTAACATTACATTAAGTCAAAAATGCGCAGGACTGCATTCCACAGGACTGCATTCATGGGTTAGGAATAGTTGTTTGAGTTCCCAACATTGGTGTTCCTTGTTAATAGTTCAGCCCTCACAGCGCCGCTGAAACTCGTCCGCTTCTGGGTGTGGCATGCAGCCGAAACAATCTTTGAGCTTCTCTTGCGATTACATACTCCGTTTTTCCATTCAACAGCGCCACACATGACACACTAGGAAGCTACAGATTTATTCTACGGGCACATCTTAGAAAACACTTTCTCGTGAACTGTACCTTCACACTCAGTGAGCGAGTTGTTTCTCGGTGAACCTTCTATTTCTTCTTAGCAACAGAAGGCCTTCTTATAAAGACTATTGAAGGGAAATAGTCACTGTAACTTGCTAGCAACGACTCATTGCATTATTTATTTATTTATTTATTTACTTCAATACATAGAAATGTGGGCTTTAAATGAATATAGGAGGCAAGAGTTATATATTCGAAGTGAATTGCTGGTACACATATGTACATAGATCATTAGGGAAAGAGATAAAGCAGGAAAAAAGGAGGAGATGAAAATCAAATTCCGTTTGAAGAGAAATCAGATGCGAGTAAAATAGTAGAATTGTAATTCAAAAAAAAATGTCAGCAATTCATTGTTTACGAAATCCACAACGGTGTAGAGAAGCGCAAGCTCTCAACGAGCAACGTAACGTTTTGACGGGGGTGGTAGCCTCTTCGTCACAAACGACCTTCTGTTACTTTCTTATTTGCTATGTTGAGGCGGAAAGCCAGATATTCACGATTACAAATGTTTGCGCAAGTTGCCCATTCTCTTAGCAGTCCGTGATCCTTTGAGCCTCTCCTATTTTTCTGAGCCTATTTTTGGGATTTGATAGAATTCTGACGACGTCGCCAAAACTACTCAACACATGCTTAAGGCTTCACGTCGCTCCTGTCGCACCCGCTGTAGCTGTACCGTCGGTTGTCCCACAAGAATCTCCCAGTCGACGCATTGAAGCACGCATGAGACAGCGGATGATCAACGAGCGTCTGCGAGCAGTTCATGGTTAGTCTGCATTTGTTTGAAGCCCAATAACTTTGTGGAAATTGGTTTTCCTGCATAATATGCGAAGTGCAAATACATGGAAATATCAAAGAAGTGAGTCAGACTGGACCTGAGTATTGTGGTGGCCATCATGGGGCGCTTCGTTATCAAATTCTATATTGGGCATTCAGTCGAAATGGTTCAGTGGATACAAATTGAAGGCAAAATTATTATGAGGCCCTGCCCTGAAATATGGTGCTCAAGTGGTTGTAGCTGCCAGAGAAGTATCCGATTCTTTCTGTTTTTGTAACGAAAGATTTATTCAAGTCAATGGCAGAAAAATTGTTTAGTTCCGAAGATGTCGTCCTTAATTATCTAACAGCTTCCTCAGGAATTATTATGTAGGCCTGTTTGTGATTACCAGTAATCTGATAAACACTGTGCTACATTCCCACCCAATTCGTGTAGCGGCTTATAAGTAAGGGACGAGAAGGGCGAGCGTAGTTCTTGGTGTGGAATCAAAGGAGGACTATGTGGATAGCAGAATTTCCCGCTACATACTATTATTGAGGAGCAACGCTGTTTCGATAGTGTTGTCGTTGCTCCCTTCTAGGTTCTGGAAAAGAGCTCGTCATTTTTCCCCGCTTCCTCGGCAACGAAGGGTTTGGGTGAGGTGAGAGTCTCGAAATGTGAGCCTGCTTCGAGAAGTGTGGAAGAGGGATGCACTTCGTTGCGCGCGTCCGTCAAGACTAGGTCATGCGCCGCTCGCGAAGCGGGAGGGGGTGACCTATTTCGACAGACGCGCGCAACGGACGTTCCCCGTGAAAGAGGTGCTACAGAGAGGAACCCTGAAAATGATTTCTCACGTTAATAACATTTTTCAGTACCGCTCGCTGGTGACGACGGGAAAACATCAATACAGGAGCTGATGGATCGATATCTAAATAAATCAAAAGAATCTTTGAACAACGACATGACCCCACCGCCGCCGTCAGCACTATATGCAGACGGTGCTGAACCTGATGAAATCAGAAGGCTCGTTAATAGGTTGGTGAGGAAAGCGTAGCTTCACAGCTAGATCTTTCAATGAATATGACCTTAACTACTACAGGTACTGCTCACCTAACGCCGAAACCCGAGGGCACGACTCGCATCCATCCCATGTGTATACCATAGAAGATCCCCATGTCAATGCAAAGTCGGTTCCCATCTGTTTTATTTGTCGAACTTGTTACTTATATTGACACTCTGGGATCCCCTAATGTTATTGTCAAAAATATTTGAGGGTTTTACGCACACACAGACACACATATCCACCCACACACACACATGCGCTACTACACACACCAGCATACACACCCACACACTACCACAAACACACACACATACGAACAGAAGCACACACACAAACGCAAACACACCCTTGTACATACACACATATACACAGACACACTCCTGAACTGACTCTTTCAAACCAATCTGATGCCGTGACCATTCTGACTGACTTCAGAGTAGAAGTACCAAAACCAAAGAATGTTTATGCAAGTGGAGATAATTCTCAGCTCCGAGGTAAAAAGTCCAAAGGTCAAATGTCATCATCTGGAAGGAAGACTGGGACTACAAGTAAGTACTATCAGTATCATAAACCTTTGAGTTATTCCCTCACAAAATTCTTTCCATTTCTATTTTCTTTCCCTTTTGCTCCATGTTTTTTTTTGTTGACTGAGGAAATTCGTGTAGTCATTGTTGTTTGGTGACGCCCTCTGAGAAAGGCCCCGGTGAGTGGTGTTGTTGTTTAGAGGGAGAGCCATGATATCATCATGAAAAGATCGAGAAGTTAAGTGTATATCTATTGTCAAGACCCTCTCTGAAGACCTCGCTTCGCACTTGCCACGTGCCCTCCCACAATGACGATAGGTATAGTTGTCCAGGAGTTCTGCTCTATAATCGTTGGAACTCTCAAAGGCCTAATTCAAGATATATTTGGAAATCCTTTTCGAGTTGAAAAGTAGAAGTATGTATTGGTGTAGAGCAGTGGTATCCTGCTACTCACCAATCAGTGGCAAAAAAATCCTCCTATTTCGAGGAGGAAAAACTGAGCTTTTTTAAAGAAGTGGAAGTAGAGGTTGTCCGCAATCACCATGACGGAAATGGCATGTAAGGGTCGTTTGGACGAGATTTCACTTGCTCAGACTACGCAAAGAGCTAACTACATCGAGCCGAAATTGTCTGGAACTACGTTTCACTGTCGCCATTGGTTATGGCAAATTGTTTGAACTTCCCACATGGGAGACCCTTGAAATAGTGCAGCCGCTGCAACGCCGTTGAAACTCGTCCACTCTGGGCGTACCACTCACGCGATACAATCTCTGGTCCCTTATTGTGCCCCATACAGGACGTTTTTCGACTTTCTAACAGTAGGTATAGTATAAAGCGAGATTTCAAATTCACACTATAGTGAAATCTTAGGAACCATCTTTGTGGTGAACTGTGCCTTCACTTCTGTAATTCTTCTGAAATGACAACATCTGTAGGAAGTCGTCCAGTACTACAAGCAAGTACTATCCTTCACTACGAACCTCCTTGTTGCATTCCCTCTGCAATTTTTCCATTGGTTTTATTTTTTCTCTTCGTTCCCTTTTTTTGCCCACTGCAAAGATCCATACTATGGTGGAATCTTAGCAACCATCTTTGTTCTTGGAATGAACGGCTGAAAAAGAGAACCTTTGGAAATTATTATAAAGAAATGTTGGAGCAGCCTGTCTGCGAAGACTTATTTGTGATGAAAGTTTCCATTTTTGAGTTTTCCTAATATTGTTGTCGCGTAGCGGTTGTTTGCAACACACATTTTTGCTTATTCTCATCTGCTCTCATTTTGTTTAGAGATAAATTTGTGGTCCCCTCGTACACCAGATGTCGGGCTGTCAGGTCGGAAAACGGCTTAGCTAGGGCGTTATAAAGGCTGAACGATTGTCACATCGAATGCGTGGACGAGTTTCACCTGCATTGTAGAGGGTGCACCGTTTACAAGGGAATCCATGCACTACGAAGTAAAGAGACAGTGGAAGGCAATTCTGGAGAGTTTTTGCTTATAGTAGTCAGCTCCTTACGCGATTGCAACAAGTGAAACCTCGTCCACATATTCTTTCCATGTCATTTGCGTCATGGTAATCTCGTACGTCCTATATTTTTACAAATTTCGCGTCGCGCAGCCCTCTTTTCAGCGAAGTCGGCAAGTTTTCACTCTCCCTTCACCACCGATACACCGTTCTCGAACAATACTTCCGCTTTTCGACCTGAAGAGAGAACCTAAGAATCATCGTGAACTGTCCCTTTAATAAATAAATGACGTCATTCAAAAGCGCTACGCATCCCTTGGTCTCGCATACCATTTTGGGTTTCTTCAGAACGTTTTTTAGATCAAGATACGGTGCATCTACCTTAGCGCGGTAGTATGTAAAGCATAAAGTAGAGCCATTTGGCAACCGCTTTAGCATTTAAGAAATGCTGAAATGAAAGGCCAAGTTAAGCAAATTATGATTGTTCACCGCGCAGTATTTAGTGTTACATTACGTACTCACTGTCCGTCACCTGATTGTGGCCGCAAACTCGGACAGCTGTTCGTCCATCTCACGGAAATGCTCAAATACCCCGTAACTTTAAAATTGGCCCTGCTTGCTGCTGACCTACATGTATTCCGCAAGCCAGCCGCAAGTATTTATATTCCCCAAATGATTCTATGAAATGAAATAATGGTGGGAAAGCCTTTGCTCTGGGAGACCCCTATCTTTCTCTCTGACATGCTGGTCCCTAAAATACCAGTTTTTACCTTCTGCTCTCGCATGGATCAAGCGAAAGCACATTTTACTCTGACTACAAAACTTTCTGGGACCTTCTAAGCTTCGCTCCGGTGCAACCGTTAGAAGTGTTCCCAGCTTGTGTGCTCGGCCCACATACTTGTTCCCTATATCCCTCGTCGTTGTCTCTTCGACACACTGATCAATTTGCCTCATCGAAAGCAGTTGTTCGCCTCCGCCTCTCCCCTCGCTTCACGCACCACCGTGTCCTATGATCTCGTCAGATTCGCCCCACAAGCATCCAACCACTTCAGGCAAAGCATTTCGCGTTATCAGCTACTTTATCTCTGTGCAAGTTTTTTAAATTTGATTCCATTCTTTTTCGAAAAGTAATGAGCTTTTCTAGTCATATAGGCCTTTAGATCCTATGCTCTTCGAATTCATTAGCTTCAGGAAGGGCAGGTATAAGAAATGTTTTATTGCTGATCGAATTCACACTTTCTTACTTTGATGTGGTGGCAGCCGCTGATTTATCTCGGGAATTGGAGATCCCTATCTGTGGTTTTTAAGACAGCGNTTCCTCCTCTCTGTTTGTTTAGACAACAGTTGAGGTTGTTGTGTTGAACACTATGAAACCTCGCAAAAATCTACTCGATTTGGATAGATTTTTGATGAAGTCTGGATCTCCTTAGAGCGATAAGCTGCGTCAACTCGAGCTCGAGCTCGAAACATTGCAATGGCTTTGGGCGCCCTCGCTTATTACGTCTGCATCCCGCCTGACTCAGTTCCTCTTCTTCCTTCTCTCGACTGTACACTATGCTTCTTCACCACTTTGACCATAATGCTCAATACAAAATGCTCCTTCTCTCCCTGTTATTGATGTTCCTCGTTCATAGTACTATTAATCGTAAGAATTTCACAAACGTTTTCCTTTATAGCTGTTTAATTCTCGCAAAAAAAATGTATGAATTCGGCTCCGAACATGATTTCAAGCCCCTTTCTTTCGTTTCCTTTGTACAAGTTCAATAGGTCAATTAGTATGACAAAGTGACGACAAGTGCAGGTACAATCGCTGAAAGATAAATCGGCCTTTGATTATTTTTTTTGAACTCTTTTTGCCGATATCTGGCAAGTCCTACGAGCAGGCTACAAGAATGAAAAAAATCTGTGAGTGAAAAGCGAGAAAAAGAGAAAGCACTGGCGGCATATTTGGCCCATCACTGTGTGATTTACGCAAGTTAAGCCTTCCATTTCGCCGAAATATCTATTTGGTGGGTTTTGTACGCGAGCTTCTGACCCTCATATGATTGACCAATCCTTACCAACTGCTGTTTTCCATGGCAGTTCAAAGGCGAATGATTGAAAAAATATGAGGGAGAGGAAAAGTAGTTAGCTCCGGATCGGACGAGAACCCACAGTTGTGCCTTCTGGATTTGCACGCATTAACTTCGCAACCTTAACCTTTACTTTGGCAGAAACAGATCCACGGCATATTCGAAAACTGGGGAATTGTCAACAAACCAACAATCTCTATTTATTCCTCTCTATTTGTCAACAAATGGATTAGGATATGCAGTTCTTGAGATACTTCGACAAAACCGACGAACAGGAGTAACTATCGTCCACCGCATAGTCTGGAGAAATTGCATTTCATGACTGTCCCACTACCCACAAACCACCGACTCGCAAACAGCCTATGTAAAAAATTGACGTGGTTCCGCGTAGATAAAGCAAACAGATCCGAGCTGCGTCCCTCTTGAACGTTCTAGTGTTGGGATGCGATCCCTTAGTTCTGGATAAAGACTATTAAGAATGTATCAAATCACCCATCATAGTGGGCTCCGGAGGAAGGAAATGTGCGCGTGAGTCATCAACAAGGACTGAGTCATCAAGAAGGACAAGTCAGAGCATTTAAACAACAACAGCATGACGAAACTGGCAGAAGATCGAGTGAGATATCATTTTGTCACTGCTCGGTGCACTTTAATTAAAAAGGACTTTGGAAAAATAAAATCGGGATTTCTTGATCCAATTTTACGGTAGAAATCGTAAGCAGGACGGACAATTGCGCAACGTAGGTAGCTCTATAGTACCGTTTTACGAAAACGAAATAAATTTGGTCCCTGTTTTGCCCGCAAACAAAGGTTTCCGTGGTCAACAACGCCCTTCTCCAATAACTCGATCCAGCCTTGGAGATTAAGATTTCTCAAGATGCACATATGATTGTTCGCACTCCCAAATGTAATGGAGCATGTGTTTCTGGAGAACGAAGCTCCTTCCACCCCTTCGAATGACTTCATTGACCAGGATTGAGACCTTTGCGTTCAGTAATCTCCTTATGTCATAGTATATTGCAACTCTACTTCACTTGGGGGATCTCAAGTTGGAGTCCTGTACTCAGGGTGATATGGGAATCAGCTTTCTCCAAGTCATTTACTGAGCCTTTCTTTGCAAATAAGCTTCCAATCACTAAATATGTCATTTTCACTCTTATAGCCGAACATTTCTCATTCAAAGTTAAGGATAAGTGGCGACAGAACTCAATTGATAAAGCTTCAACTTTGTAGGAAGCATGCCTCATTACAGGCTCAATTTTTCGAGCAGTTGCCCTTCTTTCTTTGCTATCGTTATTAGTAGAAGATATTACGAAGTTGCTGCTAAATCACTTTGTTCCTAACCAACCAATACACATTGACTGACTCAATCGACATCTGCAAAGATGCTTTGCTTGCTGTTTGTTTTCTTCCGTGAGTGGCTTCCGACCGACTTCTTCATCCTTCGCTCTATTTCTTCCCAGCCCTAGTTCATTGATCAAGTGCCTCTAGGAGCTCAATTTTCTGTTCAAAATCGTGTGAAATGATCTTGTATGAGGAGGTGCTTCCTAGGTTTTATAGGTTGGTTGAACAACATCGTTTAATATTCCGGAGAAACCTGCATCGAGTTGAGCAGAATAATCATCCACCCTTTTCCATATTTATCAAAGATCGCTATCTAATTCGAACCATATAGGCTGCCATATATCGAAATTACATCTTTGATGATACTTCATCTTTGTAAAAGAAACCACAACTCTATTCAGTGCCCGTTGTGCCCTCTCTTTCTTTCAAATACCCTAGAATTTCGAGAATTTCGAGAATAACCAACAGTAATATACGCGAAGAAGTGGGAACTACTGCGCTCAGCATAAAACTGAATCTTCGCTATCGAGACAACTCTCATGCAGTGTTTGTTTCGATGCTCATTCCGTGTGTTCAGCTTCAACACTCACTATTTTACCAACGGATGATAACTTTACCTCAGTCATTTCGAATGGAATTCGCCGCATTGGCGCAGATCGCTAACTTTTCTTATTCCAGGCGGAGCACGTATGCCGGTCGGAAGCGGATCCTCACGCTCCGGGCGACTGGCCCGGATCAGTCAAAGTAATATACGACCGTTTGGCTCAGGAACTGCCGGTGGAGGATACGGACCAGGTAGGCAACTACTCCTCTTGGCGTATCAAGCAGAAAAATTGCTTTTGCAAAACTATTGCTAGGCTTCTCATCGAATGTTGTCACAAGGGAGTGCAGGGTAAAAGAAAGTCATAAGGTGCCACATATTCTGAAAAGAGCTTCAATATCTAGAAGGCTGGGTCCCAAAATAGGCGAGACACCTAAATGCTAACGAGTGGCATTGTTGACTTAGGAGTTCAAGTAAAAGACGGTAAATAGCGGCAATATTGGAAACCCCATCGTAAATGCAACTGGAACACGAGAAATTAATGGGAATTTCTATGGATACCCGTGTTGCAGGAGGCTTGCAATAGTGAAGGTCGGGAAACGCCATATTTCAAGGCCCCCTGCAACACGGATATCTCCACTTCAAGTGAAGCAGTACGGCCCATCAGGGATTCTGCAACAGAGGAACATATACCGATCCGCTTGTCGACGAGTCGTAAAAAGTGGCTTTGAGTAGAAGAGGCTCCTCTGCACCGATTTGCAGAGCTGTCATTCAAGAATAACTGTTAGAGTCTCAGAAGCCAAGGTAATTCAGGAGATACTGAAATAGCAGATGAGCTGAAGATAGGCGTTGTCGATATCCTTATTTCATATTGTGTGTATTTCTAAGATGTGGAGTGTAGCCTTCAGGAAAAGGTCTGCCTGAACAGCGTTCAGCGGAAATACACTTTTTGGTCAGGTTTTTCGGGGAACGCCGCTAACCTCGGCCAGTTGTCGACAGCCATGACAATTCATGAATGAGAATTCATTTGATAAACCTGAATTGAACTGTCAGCGTCAAAACAATAGGCAGCGATCTCATGCTAATGCTTCATAGAGAAGAGTAACGAGCATCTTGGCGACGAGGTCGGATTACAGGGTAGTAACCATTTCATTCCATCCATCCCTATATATTCTACTCCGATTTTTCACATGCTATTCAGTGACTAGCCCTTAATTGTGCTTTTACGCACCATGTACCAGACTTCTCGTTGCGGAGTCGTTGTAGTGGCAAGTGGCGCACTATCACGCACACACACTGTTCGAGGACCGGATCCCGGATCGATATCTTTCCCATGCCCAAGAATCTTTAATTCCCGCGAAATCACTTGCTTTCTAGCAGGCTTCTCTGGAAGGATAAATACTACTTTCACATCGGCTCGCCGCCGTGAGTCATTTGTATTGCTTGTCATTGCTCCTGGACTGCCCCTCCGTGCAGTACGGATCCGGCTCGTCTTCACTCGGGGAAGTCCACGTTCAAAACTGGGTAATGAGAGACGGTCGTTGTCTACGCCTGCGCTTTTCTTCTTTTGAGTAAATCGCGATCAACCTACTCTCGAATCGCTCAGTTTCCTCGCTCAGATTCTGAGAGTAGAACGAATGCTTCGATGAAGATCTTGCTCTCTATCTATAAACACGAAGCTGCGCCGCTCTGGAAAGCAAAGATCATATTTTTGCAATGCAAAGCCATTTTAACTAAAGGCCACTTTCGGTAGTTCCCATGTTATCTTTAACAAATGAATGAGAACATTGCCGCCATTCACCGGTGACTGTGGCGAAGAAATGCCTCGAGACTGAAGAGCTGATGTTGTTTGGCTTTTCAAATGGAAGTTACTCAAAGCCGTTCATATACCATGCCCTTGGTTGTTGACATTGAGCTGTGTGGCCAAAAATGTGCTGTGTATGACGTTATAAATGTCTGCGTTCCTTTTTTTGAACATCCTACACAGTTCGACAATGCGCTATCTTCCCACTCCCAGAAACGCTGACACGATTGCACAAGGCTTCCCTTCATGAGCAGCCGTTCCCGAAGCAATAGTAGTCCAGCATTTCCGTTCCAACCTCTTCTATTGCCGTTTTGCCCTATAAATCTCGCATTTTCCGCCTTCATTACCCCTCCGTCGGTTTTTCGCGTCGCCTTAAAGCTCTCCCCAGAGAGGGCCGCCAAGTGTCATCTAACGCAGTCATACGTCTCGAAAAATACAGATCCATTTTCTGGCACTTTTTAAATATCTCTCCACCCACTGCCGCCAACGAACGGAATGGGCAGCCATCGGCGGTCCCTTCGATGTCACATCACTACCAGAGGCGTAGTCGTCGTCGTCGCCATCAATTGATGTTTCGACTTCTCGACTTCGTATCATCGCTTATCGGCTTGCCGGGTACCCATGTCTTTTATTTGCTCCAGTGGCTACATTACTAAGCTCGTACGGCGAATATTACGATCAGGTATGGGGTTGTTTGGTCCGGAGTGCATGGGTGTGTGTGAATTGCACAGGAGAGGTTCAAACTCCTACTTTAGCAGTGCTTGACTCCCTGGGCCTCACCGCCTATAACGCATTATGTTGCAGTCGATCCAGTTGTCTTTTATAAACTTCTTCAGCTCATGAAAATGCATAGGGAGTGGGAGACGATATATCGTGAAAAACCCCTCCATATAACCATCACCCCAAGGATTCATTCCAGTGCGGGAAGTCAGAAATTGAAGCTAAGGGGGCTGGGAGAACTTGAGTGTCCTTCACTTCTACGATTAGGACGTGGGAGAAGATTGTTCCCTCGAGCAGTGACTTGTCGCTGGCAGCTTATATACCTCATTAATCTTTCAGTTCCATATTTATATCCGTAGATTTTTCATAAGAGCCCTGAGAAAATTCAGCAGGAGCAGTTGTAATAGCTTTATGGCACGAAAGTTTTCTAAAATGACGTCTCAAAAACTTTTGCGGACAGAGACATTTTATAGCCAATAATCAGCCTAATGTGGATGCTCATCAATTATCAGTATACAGCTCGTAGTACCTATCTGACCTTCCTGTAGTGCCTACTTCGGTTCATTCTTTTTTGTCGCGCCTGACTGAAGATCTTTCTACCTTTTGTTTTCAACCATACTTCCTTTTAATTGAGTGCAGGTTGTTGAGTTAATGTGATCTTGGAATTGTAGTTAGCGCACCTAAGCACCAAACAAATGAATAAATAAATTTCTATGGACGTCCAGGTCACTTGGATCCATGTATCCATGAGTCAAACGCGCATTTGTGATAATGTCCAGCTACACCACGACATGGGCCACTTGTCATAGCTAGCCCTTGCAGAGATTGCCTCGGGGGAGTTTGCCTCGATTGAAAAATTCTCAGTGTATAAATCTCAATCTAAAGTGAATGAAATTCCTGATGAACGAGAACTTTATGAACTAGATTTTGGAAAAAGGAACAATGCTACATCACTGTCGGCAGAGGCAAAAGCCTTAGGACTTCGTTTAAAAATGAAATTTTGAATTTCAGGTGGTCATCCACTTTCTGGACCAGATCCAGCGAGCCCCACCAAAAAAGATGTTAAACATCGTTTCGAAATCACAAAGAAGCTAGGGTCTGGTACCTATGGAAAAGTTTCTTTGGCATTCGATCACAAATTCGACCGTGAGGTGAGTAAACATGCACAGTTAGCTATTTTGCTATTTACATGCAGCATCGAACCCAATCTTTCAATTTTTCACTTTTTCCGTTTTTCTACTTTCTACGTTCGACTCGTTCTCCATGATGATTGGATCGAAGCCTTGTGATATGCTTATCCTGATGATCGCTACACGTTCCCTTTTTTCTTCTACTCCGTTCTTTAGCTGCTTCAACACTTATACTCTACTTCAGTAATCGACCTTTTCCTCTTCTACAATTATTGTTCCGCTTCAATTTATCATAAAAACGGAGCTTGCCTTGGAAGAAGAAGCCAAAGTGCTTATTCCAGGAGCGCATAATGAGTGCTATCAAATCTAACCACTTCTATGGCTGATCCCTGTGGTTTTTATCAACGAATGTTCAGCATTTTCATTGTCGAATTTATCGAACTTGCGTTTAGTCTGCTACTGATAACTGGTTGAGGATGATGTTGACTTTCCCTGGAAAACGATCGAACGTAAAATTAGAATATGTACGTCAGACAACTGCCTCCGAGACACTGCTTGAGCAGCCGCCAGAACTGGGGTTCAATTTCTTAATGAAGATTCATGTCCATATCGGCTATGTACATCGCCCCGATTTGACTACATCAGGACCTTACACCATGTGGTGACCACCCTTCTGCTTATGAGTTGGGCCAAGGATAGCTGAATGTGGATAACTACAGGATTTGAGAACTATGGGAAATAATACATACTAGAATGAAGAAGCAGGCGAAGAAGAGGGGCGACCGC